TCCTTCACTACTCTCGTTTCTTTCTCACAATCAGTGCATGCGTCCCAAGATATCTTCATACCTGATGCTGTCCGTTCTGGCGTTGGCGTTTAGGTCTCCGCTCAGGATGATCGGTTGCAGGCTCCCATAGAACTGGTTTTTATCGTCTTCATTACTATCATTAATAGGTGCATAATACTTGATAATATTCATAGTGATTCCCTCCTATGTTTTGACTGATGCTTTGACGATCTTGTATCAGTAAGATTCGCATCCTATGAGTGCACTACGTGTTTCTTTGGACAGCATCAGAGTAACTCGTTGAGTGTGCGGAATATTTTCCTCTTCGTGACCAAAGAACAGCAGCATTTCCCATGAATCTAATCTCCTCTGTCCGGCTTGGGTCCAGTGTGTTTTACTTATTCTGGACACCTGTTATATCTCATCTCCGAATCTATATGACTTGTATTCCCAGTTTCGCATATTGTCCGGATATTTGGTGTGCTTATATTGATTGTTGCTGTGGTTGTCAGATGTCGCATCAGCTACCTGACTCCCGAAAATCTCGGTCTGCACTATGAGGCGTCATAATTCTTCTGAATGAAGGTGCGTGAACTGAGAGGACAGGTTATCTTGTACAGGATGGGGTTGTCGACCTCATGCTCAACTCTCCTCTTTTGTTCAGTGTTCGGCTCTGCAGTAATTCTTGAAGGTATACGGGTGGAGTTAACGGCTCTCGTTGTACTGTGAATTTATAGTAGAACGGGTGAAAAAGTCTAAGTCCATTTTTATAGACTTGCAACTAATAAGAAGGATTTTCAACACATATGTGTGATATGATGTAACTTACTAAATACACTGAGACTTTGATATTTCGGTACAAGTGAACGATCGCTCTCTAAAAACATCTCTGTTGTACACCCTTCATCGAATGTGATCGCCTAATCTTGACAAAATTTGGTGTCAAGGCTAATTAATTAGATCGAGCAAAACACCTCGTGGGGACTGTGTCAGGATATGACTCCGACGTCTGAATGAGTGCTTTTTATGAATATGTGTTAAGGTTCATATGGTTAAGACCAGTTGAGAATTGTCAAATACTCAAACATGTTGATGCCCTCTGTGTTCATTTTCCTTTTATGATAGGTGGTGATTATCGTTTTGTGCACTTATCCAAACGCTCCTTTTCCCCACCTAATAATTGAACTGACGCCAAATAAACACGACAACATGAGCCTAATCTAATTTGTTCAGTAGTGGACGTACGAGCTATCAGTGGTTGAATGCCATTATCTGAGTCATTACTTTTCACTGATCGTGTCAAACTTTAGGGAAAAGCTTTCAACCAAGATGATGAGCTAACACATCAAAAAAATCTAATTCTACTTAGAAGTTAAGCGGATAACAATGCAATTACTTTCAGCAATTCTAAGAGTAAAACAATCCACCTGGATGGCATTGCAAACTACATTTACAACCATGGTGATTCGCCTTTGAATGTTTGGCAGGTACCCCATGACCCAAAATCTCAAGCTAGGTATGATGAAAAGACATTGCGAGAAAATCTTGTATTGGTAATGCTGAATCTCGTTTTTGCCAGTTTCTCAGTAAGACTTTCAACTCATTTTTTAACAGTTTTATTCAGTCATACATAAAGTACAGAAATGTGTTTTTACATTCACTATAAAAAAAATAAGGATGCACTAGAACGCATCCAACGACGAGCTACTAAATCAGACTGTGGGCTCAAATTCAAGCCTTATAAAGAACGCCTTAAGCGACTGAATCTCATTAGAGTATAATCATTGGAGTATAGAACTCCTAGAGGTGAACTTTACGTTACTTACAGACAAAGATGCGGCAGGTATTCAGCATTTGACAACGCATTTATACGTAACACCTTTGTAATCAAAGTATACCAACCCAGTGAAATCAGAATTCAGAGCTGAATAGGTTCGAGGAAAAATTTACAAAGCTATCGGCATGTCAAGAATAGTTTGGTCAACGGTAGCTAAATGTTGTAACAGACGCGCAGCACGGCGTGAGTGAGCACCTCTAGCTAGGGCATGTCCAGTAGAACTGATAAGGTCAGCATAGACGTTTAAACTCAGGTATTTATTTATCTTAAGGATTCACTTGCCTCTGCACAGGATCATTGACAGTACTGAGCATCCCCTTATATATCTACTTAAGCTCAGTCTGAACACGAACCTAAGAAGTAACACCCAGGATCAGGAGACAACATAGCAGAGCGGATTGTGGGAACACTTTCCACTCATTAAGAGTAGTCAAATTCTGAGATTTCCTACCGGATGGGCTGGTAAAAGCGACTTCTAAGGGGTCCTTTAAGAGAAAACTTGACATTTTCTTAAGGACTAAGGACAGCGTCTCAGTGTAGTTTACTAATATTTTTTCCCTTTTATTGTTAAATATACATAAGTTTCTACCTGGCAGCATCAGTGATCTATTGCTACTAGTTACGGAGGCCCGTGAAGCGAATGCTTCCTTTATGCAATTAAGGACCATTTGAAACCATGTGATGAAGCGTTCCTTAAATTAATAATTATTATCCTTTGGAGTATGTGACTTAGAAGTTACCTTCTAATGACTTACAGCATCTTTTTGTAATCTAAGTACATAACCGACATTTAAATATTTATTATCCATGTAAATTACGGTTATTTAAACCCAATATGTAGTTTAAGTAGTTTGTTCAATATGTTTGTTTAAGTCACCATTCCTTCTGTTAGCGCAAAGAATTGATTGAACTTAAGGTGTTTTGTTACAACTATCGTCATGACAGCCTCCCCTGAGCAAGTGGACAATTCATTTCAGAGTAAGTCAATTTCGAATTTGTACTCTTCTTGTCGTTTTGATAAATTTGGATAAATCGCTTGGATAATTTGACGTTTTGAGTGCTAATTGAAGTTTACTGTGTGATAACTAGATAATCCTAAGCAAACCATTGGAACCGATTATTACTCCCGGTGTCACATTTGATAGCAATATACTCCAGGAAGCAGCAAACTGTACTGGAAGTTGGCCTAGTTGTTAGTGTCTCAGACTTATTGAGTGTTGGGTTGTGACTTTCATGCAAATGTCAATGTGTCTTGAAAATCCTAATCCAACTCCCAATCCTAATATCTCCAATTTATAAATCTCATTTAAACCTAGCAAGGTGGACGTTTTCAAAGTCAGTTTAGCGTTGCCCAAAGGTTGTCCGTAAATTGTGGTCACCGTTTATTATACTGTTCAAGGTTTCGTACACTAAACATCGTGTTTATTATTTAAAAATGTCCGACTTCAAGGTTCGATCATGAACTATTGCTTTTCTGTAACCACTGGTCACGATAATCAGGTGAATGGTATCCGTGATGTAAAATAGTTTGGCCTCAGTTTACTCAGTATTTTTATTTCTGATGCTCCCAGTATCTCATACTAACACATATATACACAGGTTATTAGATGTTTTACAGCTTACTGGAAAGTGGGGGTGCAGATAGGCTCGGGTCAGTCTTCAGTAAATACTTCCCATTTTAAGGATGCGGAGTGCATGCTATACAATAATTCATTGATTAAATGCAATTTGCGTAACTTGTTTCAGTGTATTCTCAAAGTCTAGAAGTCATCAGCTAACAGGTCCGTACCGCATACTTCAGCGTTGTCCTCAAAGTTTCATCGGTAGCAAAACTAAAGGTTAACGTTGAAACTTAACAATCATGTTTCCTGTATGAAGCGATTAAAGGGAATAGTTAAATACCATCAATCTATTTTGTACTGTCTCCAAGATGTCGGTAGGTACTCTGTATCTTTTAACAGATAATACCAGATCACAGTCCTGTATAATAAAGCAGACAACCCTAGTATTAAGAAACAATTGTCAGTAAACAACACCCCCTACTCACTGCCTTCTCGTGGCGGGGGTGTTGTTTACTAAAATGAGAGGACGAAAAGCGAATGTCCAGCGCTTTAACCGGATTCCAAACCAATGGTGCACATGGGCTCCAGTATCCTGCGGGAACAAATGGCGTATGAACCAATTGTTGGTCACCGGCTTCCATGGGACTGTATCTCCTTACAATGCTCCACTGCCTTGTGGATCGGACCCTCAGGTCGAAGGCTCGGCGTGTGGCCCCCTAAGAACACCACCTGCTTCGGTTTGGGCACCCGGGCAGTATCACAGCCCTCACACATATCGAATGAGATTTGTGTGGCGCATATGTATTTGGTGCCTCTTTGTACCAATATCTATGTGTTGAAATAAATAAATAAAAATAACCATGACAGTTCATGCGTTTGTTAGGGTAAGGGTGTAATCAATGCATACATGACCTTTACGGAAACCAGACTCCTCATGAGTCAGCCTCACAAGTTTTGCTCAATCTGTGGGGTATGACTAAAGTCGGTTTTTAAAATCCGACTGCAACCACATACTCTGTGGTAATTATCTCATGTTTTATACACACCCTTTTTCAAGGTAGGGACGATAATCGTCCTGGTCTGAAATTAAATCCTCAACAATTAAATTCCTTAACTAAACAGTTCACTCCTATCCTCGGAAAATGTTAGAATCATGTCGTCTAACTGTTAACCTGCGAGGTTTTCGGTCATTGGAACTCAGCGTAAAACTTGACACAAGAGTACATCAATCCAAGCTGTCATACCCTGTCAGCAAGGAAGATTTGTCACGAAAAATCCCCGAGACTTTAGAAGTTGTCGTTTCCGGACCCTCACGTTGTTATATGTATCCGTGCTTAACAACCACTAAATTACAAATCGAGTGGTTTATATGGTGCATCCTTGTACCAATGTTTGTGTTTAAATAAAAATAGAAATAAAATAAACGTTTATGAGGCTCTTAGGTGAATTATTTCTGGAGATAGGTTGCTTACTTTTTGAAACCTTCCTAGAGATGATTAATCTATCTGCCACCTACCTCACATGTTTCGCTGATATCAGGGTTCTCTCTGTTAGTGTCCTATTCGTTACGTTGCTAGCCAATTAATAATCTTGGAGTACACTACATAGCCACCCGCTCTCATGCCGTTGATATGAAACATAATGTGAAAAAAGAATTGTTTCAGGCACTAGTTTTTAATCATGTGTCTTCGAAGCATTGCTTGTGTATCGTAGGATAACTGGTTAAGCAATTCTGAGGTTAAACATAGAGTACTAACCAAACATAACAAGTCGGTTGATTTGACTTTAGGTCTTTTTTTGATTGTAGGGGCTTAGACGTATTACATGTACCCCTTAATAGGGAATGCTTTCTTGAGCAGACGTAGGCTCAAAGAAAACGAGGTCGAGGGACCTAAGAAATAGCATTAGCCCATAAAATCATTGACACGGATTGAGTCGTTAATAGATGTAGACTACCAGGTTAGAATATGTGCAATAACCGTGATCAATACTTTGAAATATTGGGAACAGTTGCAGTAGTACAGATCCGTTCATTATTTGTCCTCCTCTAGATTTTGGGTTTTAGTATTCATAAGTACCTCCCTTTCGAATTATATTTTCCATGTTTATTCGTTTTCATAGTGACTGCTTCCATAATTTCCATTCTTTTACTGTTCGTCGTGTTAATTTTACTTTGTCTCAATGTGGGACAGCAATTTGGGCTAATGCATATTTGTACCAGATTCTACATTTTCTAATCGAAAAGGTTTTGTCAATTCTTTCGCGTTAAATACTCATGTTTTGACATATTTGTAGTCTGTCAATGTAGACGGACCGGTTTCGTGAAGTTGTAAAGAGCTTTGGAAAGCCTAGTATTTAGATCCCAGACATTTATCAACTCTTGGGCGAATTTATTTGTTATTTTTATGACATCCTGCAAACCCATCCTATTCTCGTCTTCACTCTTTATTGAGCTGATATGTCTTGATGTTTGGTAACAGTCCGATTGTAGCCAATTTGTTTACATCAATCTACTTCTGGCAGTCAGTTACATGCAACAAATCTTGACATACACGGATCGGTTCAAATTACCGTACCACATTAGCACAGTGTGATAAAATCCTCAAGCCACACCCTAGGTTAGTAGGAGTAGTAACAGCATCATTAGTAGTAGGTGGGATTAGTTATAGGAAAAAGTATGAGATTTGGGTGCGTAGGGTCTAAAGGAATACGAAGAATGAGAGGATTTTCGCCCTCTCGATCGATTCAAAGTCGTCACCCAGCATCTCTAACCCCTAGTTAGGATGATCATGCAGACTCCAACAGGGCTTGGTCCGGCGGTTAATGGCTCTGTGGACTAATGTCACGTTTTATTTAACAAACCCTAGCAGCGGCCTGAATGTTGAGACGTTCGACATGGCCACTAAGTCCCAGGTTCGAGACCTACTATATCTACGCCGTTTAGGCAATTGGGTAGTATGAGTAGCCCTCCTAGCGTGACCCATTCAAATACCTGCTGAATAAATAAGTCATGATACTCGTGAACCAGGCAACATCACCTTTCGAGGTCGTCACGATCAGGCTTACGTAACATCCCAACCACCTCAGTTGATGTGGATTCAGTATCTTGCCAATCCCTTCCACGGTGTGGGCAGCCCGGAAGTGATATCAGCCCTCATACCCGTAACAGCACACGAGACCAAGGTGGTCACATTCAAATCCTTCCTACACCTAATAACTCTCTTATCTACTCGACTAACCCTTCTCACGTCCCTTTATTACCTCGCAGCGCTAGGGCAAACGATTCGAGTACGCGGAACGCTATTCCTGGTCTCCTAAAACCATGCTCTAAATTACATGTAGGAGCTTTTAACGTCTGAGTGAGCCATGTTAGTAGGTGTAGACCACCTGGTTGGGGACTGCGAGATGATAGCAACCGATGGTTAGAGACCCTGAATGACATGGCTCAAAATCGTTTGCAATGGCGCAGGTGCATACACTCTTTGTGTTCTCCCAAATTCTAATCTTCTGAATTCTTCATGTCCCTTTTTTCCTCTTTCGAAGTTTATTTCACTGGTTTATACTCCTTGGATAACATCTTCAAACCCTAATCTTTCCGATTACTGCTTGTACTCTTACTACCTTTAACACTACGGGATTGAATCGACAACTGCATTTCTGTGCTAATGTGGTGTGGCAACTCGAACTGATGTACGTACGTACGAAGTTCCACGTTGTTACTGACTGACTGATCTTGCCAATCGGTTCATCATATATACCTAGTACCTTATGCCTAACTTCAACACTAGTTACTCGGTAGTTTCAACATAAACAAGCAATGCTTTGGGGACACATGATCAAATACTGGTAATCCAAAGCAAACTTCTGCTCAGTACACTTGCCCTGTGTTCGGCTTATCAATGTTTCATCTGCACAACAGGTGATGCATATTAGCAAAAGCCAGCCAAACTTTCTGAACCCCCATCCCCTCAGGACAGTGGCTTTTCTGATCACGACGACGCAGCGTCGTGAACATATGTTTACAAGAAGCGGTAGACCTTTACACAACCATATTACTAGTTGATTGTAATATAGTTAGTGTTAGTTCTAGGTGGTGTTCAAGTTGAAGGACTTCAAATGGCACATTGTCGACGACTCCCAGAAGTTACTGTTAGCTAGCGATGACTAATTTATATAAAACTGAAAAACTTGGAACTCACTGTCCAAGGCCCCAGTGGGCACAACATTATTTGTCGGACGGGCTTAGTCGAAATCACCTACTTGACAATAAAACTTATACACTTTCCAATTAGCTGCTACGTCTACACTTATGAAGTCATGAAAGTTATTAACATGTTTCCAGATATGCAAATATTCAGTCGTTCTTGTCTTCCACACTTTCCAAGGTCGAGCTAATAGTTACACTTGGTTCCTGTAGACGGGTAATCACATGCCCCATAAGGCAGTTGTTAAAGTCCCGTCACATGCAACCTTTTTATTAGTCTTGTATTTCACAGACATTACTCGGCATTACAAATCGATTGGACACGGTGTAATATGACATTTTTAGTCTCTAAACTTGGTGAGAATGCAGCGTCGCTCAAGCTACTGGTTATTTTTAAATCCACCCCTTCATAGTCTGCAGTATAAATCCGTTCTCTGACGGTTCGCTAGTTCTAACCTTATTACCGTTGAACTAATGTCATTGTAGGACCTCAGTGACAGTATTCAGAGCAACAACTTGGTTAAGTCATCACAGTAGACGAGGCTGACTATTATATCAAGGGAACATTTATAGTCGAGTTTCTGTAACTCAGTGTTTGTATACTGGCTGTATCGTTTACCTTAATTATTCATGTCTGAGCACTTGAATATGAAAGGATGAACTTGATTAATGTAATCGCTTTTTAGTGGGCGATCGCATACCATACCGTCTTGTATGGCGTGGGTTGGGACTACTAAAAACTATTTTGTAACCATGTTTAGATTTCGTTCTTTCTCCAGGTAGACAGAACAGCTAAATATATCTTTTCACTAGTCTTAATGTATCATACACGATCGGCCGTGTTGCACTATCTTATTTGTCAGCAGTTTCGGAGGAAGTCAGTATCGGATGTCCATAGTTGTAAAAGTTTTAGAAGCAACATGATGATAATTGCTTAAAAGTTTTTTAGTGGACGACGTCATGTTGTATGATTCATTCTCTCCACAAGAAATGTTTGACGAAAAACATGCTCACTACTTCCAGCACAGTTCAAGAATATGTTAGTGCATCATGCTTAACTGCCTATTGGGTAATACACTAATTTCTCATCACTTAATGGATGTACGACTGAATAGTTCCAGTGTTCATTATTTTAACGGAAGTTCTTTTACTAATTAATTTTAATACTAATGCTATGTGAGGAAAGACAATGTTGCCTTGTTCGTAGGATAATAATAATGTCTGAATGATAGGCAACATAATCATCGGGATTGTCTATTTACTCAACTAATTTACCAGGTGAATTAGTGTACTTGGCTTCGGACCAGATCAAGTTAGGAGGCCAATCATACTAACTGGCTGGCGAATTGGGTTTCGGACTTGTGACTTGATTACTGAAAGACCGATGCCTTAATCGTTGACCTTATCGCCTTGAAATGTTTGAGACATTACATTTCATTAAGTTCTCAAACATCTTCATGTTCTGATATGCTAGTTCTGTTACTTTTCATTTTGATTCCTCTTTGCTCTCGATGTCCATCATTATCGTCCTCTAAGCTGTAATTCTAAATCTCCATCTAATTCAGTTTGCTGCAGCCAAATGTACTTGGTTGCTGAAAAATTTACATCCGGTTTCTCATTTTCAACACAAATGTAACAATTGAAGTTGATATATTGTGCCTAGTTTTACGTCATATCTTTTATGTCATAAAGGAACAATTATAACGTTCTAGTACATTCAGATCCAAACTAGCATAAACTTAGGGTTTATGTTCGTTCTGTAATCGCCGTTTAATGGTCCTGTTGTTAAATCCCAATTTTACCGTATGATGAAAGGTATCCATATCTCTTGCTTTTAAATAGTAAATGTATTCAAGGCATTGTTTGCGGTTAATGGGTTTGTATTGTATTAGATAAATAAATATAAGGTAAACTACTTACGTATTCAACTGACTGATAAAATTGTTTTGTCGTTCACTGACTAGTTCGTGGTACCCCAGAAAATTCATATCCTTTCTCAATTTTTGTTGATATAAATCCTTTCAGCCTTTAAAAATTATTGTTTCTAGGTATTCCGGAATCTGAAACTCATTTCCGAAGTGGAAACTTAGCACTCTCTCACTTAGATGATGTCATCGATTCTGTAGTTTCTGAAGCTATTGAATACGCGGATAAGCCACCGGAAGAACGAACGCTCCCCAAACTAATCCGTAAAGCTCCACCACCCCCACGTGTTCGGCCACCTTTAAATATGGGCGAATTTAATCAGGGGCGTAATTTCGCCACACCTAATGGTCTAAATCAAATGCCATTTCTAACTGGTGGTAATCAGTTTCAACAAAAACTTAATGAGCAGTTCCCAACAATGGTCCCTTTCAATACTGGTCAAGCTGCTACAGCAGCGGCGGCGGCAGCAGCAGCAGCTCAACAACAATTACTAATGCAATACAATGGTCAGTACCCGGCTCAACAACCACAGCAACAACAACAACCGCAACAACGTCAACAACAACAGCAACAGTACTCTCAAGCTGCACATTTCCAAGCTCTACAAAACCAACAAGCCCAATACCAGGCAGTGAATGCAGCTGCATTGGCCCAAATGCAACAGTTGCAACGTCAACAAATGCAGGTATGTTTGGTATTTTGAAGGACTAGTGTATATGCCTTTCCTTATCTTCTTACTGGTTTGTGTTTTGGAATAATTATGATTTAAGATTCGACAGTAAGGAATTGTAATAATGATAACAATTTGTCATATTGTTTACGTTACAGTTTATTATTATTGACTATCAAAAAACAGCTTAAACTCTACATTTTTTGGGAGTGCTCCTAAGTGCTTGTTTCAAATTAAATTCGCTTTTGTGGTCTCCGTCCCTGACCGTGTTTTCTTTAAATTGTTCACTGGTTGTGTGTGATTTTTTCTGAGGTCCTATACATTTTAATAGCTATTCGACTTTTTAGTTTGTTTTTCATAGTTACGACAAATGTCAATAAGTTTGAGGATGTGTCATTCCATTCGTTGAATTGCTAGGACTCTCGAAATTCCTTAACTATTCGAAATTAAGAATGAATAAATATGATGTCTTTATATTGAGTTAAATCCAATTACCAATGTTTATTGTTGTTGAATTCCAGTGCAGTGTTATTGTTCGTGTATACAGTCTAACAGATTTGTTTCATATCTCTTTTATCAATAGATGTTAGATTCAATGCGCTTTTCATATGATTGAGTGTCAATACGGACTTTTTGCTTGTATCACTATTTCAGTTTGATACTTTTTGCACCCTACCGATCAGTCATATACACTATAAATAGGGGGAGGAACTTTTAACTTATTGAGATTATGAGTATAAGTTTTTCAATGGTGGTCTAGCTTAGATCGACTCGTGAATTCAACTGTGATAGTTGAGGTTGCACAGATTCACATTCATATTTCTTATATTCAAGTTGTGATATCCAAAGCTTTCTGAAGTTTCATTCACAAGACACAATCACTTTAGCAGTTGCCTTAGTGTCAGGTGTTATTAAGAAAAAATACTCTGCATCCATAAGCAATTAAGTTAGGTGCTCTGTTTGCTTTGTGAGGTTAAGCTTTGAAGGCATTTTTCCACTAGTGCATTCCACACCCCACAATTCCACTTTTTTGTTCATACTCTTAATAAAACGTATTTGTATTTGTATATTTTTTCGATAGGCTACATTTTCCATAAGTCGTCTATGTTAGAAAAAATCCGACCTGAAAATAGATTTACTGTCTTTTCGTAAAACCTTAAGAATTGACCGTGTTTCGTTTGTCTTTGTTTTCCTCTTCCCCACCACCCACCCTATAGCTATTGTAGTCAGACCTTGTTTATCATTAGTCATTGACTGGGTAGAGAAAAAAACCTGGTTAGCATATGTGAGCGACATACAGACAGGACATAATGCATATGTAGCATCTGCGTTGGCGTGGTTCTTAGCACATTGATATATAATATTGACCCTGACTAGGCAAATGTCTTAGGTTATTTGTCTGCATGTCTAACCAAAAAATCTTGTCAGCCAATTTTTAAAGTTTAGTCTGTCGGTCCACCAACAAAAATAGTTGAACAAAAACTGTCAACGCATTTTTTTATTTATTTGAAATGGCAATTGTGCATTCACATTACATAGTAGTAGTATATTCAAGCTGAAAGAAACAATCGTGACTACATTGAAGACTGAGTTCATCTGTTATTATTGTTCACAACTTACTGCAAGTGAACAAAAGACTTATCTACTATATTTGACCATCACTGGTCGTTTCTTGTGTAATTGGCGATCTGTACAAATTCATGATCGCCTTTTAGCCTAGTGAACTCAATCGGAAATGAATTTATTCTATTCTATATATTTGTACGCTAAACGTCGTGTTCAGATGATTTAGCAGTTATGGTGTCTAGTTTCCTCTAACCTTACCTACTTCGTTTTGGCCAGAAGAATATTATTAATATCCCTCACATAAAGTGCGACTTAAAGAAGGGTTCCCAAATCTGCATCCATGCTAAGGGTGGATCGGAATTCCTCGTATTGAGGATGTCAACTTTCTGTTTCTGCGCCTACTTATAAGCTATTTCATCCAAAATTAATAAAACAACATCCTTGGCGGCGTTAAATTGAACCATTCTTGATAAGTACCTATCTACGATGAAGTAGTTGTCTAATGATTCCTGATTTTGTCTAGCGTTAGTGAGTTTCTGATGTGAACTACAAGAAGTGAATGATGTACACATGTCTCTGTTAGTATCAATCTACTAAGTTCCCTGCCGTTTATGTTACGTTATTATATCTAACAAAAACGATGTTTATTGTTGTTTATACCAACATGATTATAAGAACGAGTCTTGCTAATTTGTAAAGATTCTTGTTAGTTTATATCTCATGCTTTTCACTTGATAGAATTGTTATAAAGATCATTGTTAGGATTTTATTGATTGTATCACTTATTTTTATTTTTGGTCACCAAACAGGGATTCAACATTATACCTACTTCTAGTTATTATCTCAACAATTTAGCATATGAACTTATAATTGTTGTATTTGCAAGTGCTTTTACGAGGCTCAAGTTTTACTCATAGTAGACTATAGCTGATAACCAACTTCACTTTAGATCTGAATTATTACCTTAACAATCTCATAAAAAATGATTTCAGAAAAAGGCTTTTACTCAACATAGTTATATGAATTTATTTTGAATCTTCTCATTGAACAATGAGATGAGTATTTAGCTTTTAAAAATTAATTTGAGCTATTTATTAAAAAATGGGAAATTATGAAATTTCCTCTAAATATCTTCCTAGGTAGTGCTCAGTAATCTCATTTCAATAAACAATCAAAACTACCCACTTAGTATCATTTTTGTGTCAACTTTCTTTAGTTTTTTCTTGGATATACTTTTAGAAATAATCACTAACCTTTTCAATGATTACTCTAATGGAAGATTTATTTGTTAACGTGGAGTATGCACGGTTTCTGTCTAGTTTTTTTTAAATGTTAGTTTGCTACCTTCATCTTTTCTATTCTTCCACAATATTGCTATTCGACTTTGTGTGGTACATAATTCTTGTTCTCTTTTATACAAGAAAATGTCTTATCTAAATAGGTTGAAATAATTATTGTTATTGAAGCCTTGTCGAGGTAGCAAAGAACTAGACTAGGTTTCGTCAGTTTGCGTTACATGTAGAAAAGACAATGCCTGTGTTTTGCTTATCAAAAAGAGAGTATACTATGTGACGGTTCACTGTCTTACTTTATGACTAAAATATGGTTATTGAATGCTAAGGAATTGTGTTAACTGCAGATTTTCGACGAGTGGAAACTGAGCTAGAATAATGAAAATTATGGAATAACACCAATCACATGATTTGCGAGAATTTAGAAATTGGTTTTAAGCCACATTATATAATATGTATCTCTTGTAAGTTCTGTCATTGGTGTTCTATATTCATTATTAAATCTTATTTCCCTCTTCAAGCTAGATTTCTCATGTTAGACCCAGTGTTTTTCTCCCTGGTTATTTGCCTTTTTAATATATTGATAGATTTGTCAACTTAAGTTGGGAAATACGTGTACTGATTCTTTGAGATGTGTATTAATTAATGTTTCATTTTCTGTAAAGTCATGAATAATCACCTTTCACCAGGTATTTTGCTTGACTTTGTATTCCATTCTATCTGCTGAAGAGTTATTTGTCAGTACCTGACTAAAACGATATCCTGACAATTCATGTGTTACTGTGTACACTATCGTTTATGGTCTTTTTCAACTCCCCTGGTCGTGTGATTTGTTTTTTATGGCTGTCATCTAAAAAACGAGTAATATCTACTAACCATCACACTTCATAATTTTTTCCTGCTAACTTTTTATTGATTAGTATCTAATCAACCTGATAAGCAGTCATTGACAGACCATTAGATTTTCTGTCACATTTTACGTACTAAACGGTGAAGTTGTATGACAGCCAGTCAGTTACAAATAGAAGGGATTATTAGGAAACTCGAGTGGTACTACAAGTTGTTGGTGGTTGACGTTCTGCTCATTCATTATCTAATATTTTCTATCGATCATTGAGAATATTATTCCTATAAAATTGTTTCAAATATGTTGTTTTAACATGTGTGTCATGTGAAATATTACAGTACGTTTCTTGCTAATTTGATTATATCCTGAAACCAATGAATGGTAGACGGGACGTGTAAGCCAGAAAATCCTTCATATCACTTTTTCGTTTTTCTCTAGCGTCAGCAGCAGCAGCAGCAACAACAACAACAACAAATGTCTACTCCTAATCGGCATATGTTATATTCAGCATCGGGTTCTCCTCCTATTAGTCCAGCGGTTGTATCAAATTCCCCAGGCTCGCAACAACAACAAGCTTTAGCTTCTGCACAACAGCAGTTACATCAGCTATATGCAGCTGCTCATCAGTTACCTGGTAATTATTACTATCTTATGAACATTGTTTAAAAAAATAGATTTACATTTATTGTCACTATAATTATGCCACTAATAATTATCTCTACAGGGTATCAGTAGTATTCCTTATGATTTATTTATTTATTTATTTTAACACATAGACATTGGTACAAGGAGGCACCAAATACATATGCGCCACACAAATCTCATTCGATATGTGTGAGGGCTGTGATACTGCCCGGGTGCCCAAACCGAAGCAGGTGGTGTTCTTAGGGGGCCACACGCCGAGGGTCTGATGCACAAGGCAGTGGAGCATTGTAAGGAGATACAGTCCCATGGAAGCCGGTGACCAACAATTGGTTCATACGCCATTTGTTCCCGCAGGATACTGGAGCCCATGTGCACCATTGGTTTGGAATCCGGTTAAAGCGCTGGACATTCGCTTTTCGTCCTCTCATTTTAGTAAACAACACCCCCGCCACGAGAAGGCAGTGAGTAGGATTTCCCTGGCAGAGGCTATATACGCATGGCCATGTGAGAGCGTTTCGAGAGGGAGAGCGGACTCTCCACACTCTCGGCCGTACCGGGGCATTTGGGGGCAGTAGTATTCCTGCTAATGTGTATGTAGTTTCTCATCGAGATCAATACACTTTCCTATATGGCCTTTTCTTGCTCAGTTGGGTTATGGATAGGTACTTATCAACGTTTGGTTATTTTACTTTATTTTGTTCGAAATATATGGGAACACAACCGAATGAACTATCAGTTACTTAACATTAAGGGTTATAAAGTCCTTGGTAGATGCGGTTGTTCGCGACATTAATTCATAGAAAAACGTTTTGGTAAGCATTTTTAAATGGGGATATTTGAAACGAAATCGTCCAAGCAACCGTAACCAACCTTCAATAACTTCCTGGTGTAGTTACAGTTTGGTTGAGATTTATTTTTCAGCTTATTGTTTGCATAACTTCACTGTAACGAAAAACCCTACGTAAAACAATACTCTTAGATTCTATTGACTACTTTAATCCGTCACGAAAGTTGTATGGTTATTTTTAAATATATGTACAATTATCCTTTTGTATCAAACCAGTTGTATTTAGTATTCAAACTTTAAAGTCTTAAACTCTTGGGTGAGAACTGCACTGACTAATTAGGTCCTTTGCGGAAGTTAAGGTGATTCATACTAGGTACCTATACTTCAGTTGTATCCGGAGATGATTTACTCCTTCTGGATACAGCTCTGTTTCAAAGCCTATGTTGATCCGATAGTGACATTTTATATACATCATGTCCTCGACTCGTCCATTTCACCTTCCAGTTTCTGAAAGGTAATGTTAGTTCTTTTAGGACTACGTTATTTATTTTTTGTTCTTTAGGTCGACGGGTTAGTCACATCAGTACTGTTTAAATACCTGCTTCGGGTTGGGCACCCGGGCAGTATCACAGCCCTCATACATATCGAATGAGATTTGTGTGGCACATATGTATTCGGTGCCTCCTTGTACCAATATCTATGTGTTAAAATAATAATAATAATTTTAAATACTTCAAACTGTAAACAACAGTTATGTTTGTTGAACATCATATCTGTGTCACACAAGATTTTAGAAAGTATTAATGAGTTTTTCAAACCCTGTTTCTCTGTTATGAGTTAAAGATGTCAGTCCATTGCTGTTTTCCAGTTTTCATTCTGTATGGAAAAAAGGATTATAAGTTGTTGCTGTCTATTGTCGCCATTTTACTAAAAATGAGGAAAATGCTTGGGGCAAACTAAACTGAATGAGGCTTAAAATTTGCTGAATGTCTCCTAGTAAACACCATGGGTAATATTTGTGAAGAAGGACTTGTATTTTTGTTCTCTTTTGAGATCAGTAAGTTGATAATCTACTTCAAGCATTTAGTTCAGAATAAAAGATTATTGAAACATGAGATCTGAGGGAGATGATGAAAAGTAAATTTATCTACACCATTGCACCTATGTATGATCATCGGTTACCACAACTATACACACCCTAACCAAGTAGTCTGCACCTACCAATACGATTCAGTTTAAGCGTCTGTGATTTTATGTACTAACACCAAATTTGTGTTTAACCGCTTCTTAGTTGTCTGTCATCCACGTCCTACATTGATAAACATCGTGGATCGAGGTGACTGGATATACCTACCCAAGTGGTATGGCTTGCTTAGCTTGAATTTATGTGTATCATATTTAAATATCTATATCAAATGTTAGCTTTTAATTAAGGCCCTAATTCTGTATGCCATATAATTTTCGAATTTACAACCAAGCCGCTTCAATGTATTTTGTTATCTAGGTATGATGCAAACGTTCCCTCCGAATCAAGGACAACAGCAAGCAAGCATTCAACAAACTATACAAGCTCAACAACCTCAAGTACAACAACAACAAGTATGTAATCAACGCGTTTGGACAAACGCTGAACAACTTCAAGCAGCTCAACAACAACAACAATTAGCGGTTGCAGCAGCTGCTGCCGCAGCGGCATTTAATCCCAACTCAGTACAACAGCAATATATGCAACAACAACAACAGCAACAACCTTCACCCCAACAACAACAGGCGAATCAAGCAGCTCAACAACGTATGACAAACGATTTCCAAACCTATGCCTATCAACATTAAATTTTGTAAACAGAACAAGAGCAAAAAACCTCTTTTCAGTCAAAAAAATTAGTCTACGTTTGTAATGTTCCCTATTCATATATATATATATATATATATATATATATATATATAATTTTTGTGACTTTATTTCACGCATTTGCCTGTATGTGTTGACTCATCCACTACAGATCTGCAATTTAAAGAGATAAATTCAATTTCTAATATTTTTAGCCTGTCAACAGCTGCCTTCTCTCGTTTATCTCTACATCACAATTTCAACGATCTTCCTTATTCTTCTTTTTTCTTAACAAATACTAATCAAAGGTTTCGTGCCTTGTTGTTGCATTTGTGTTCTGGATCATTATCTTCTTTCAACTTTTCTGAAACTTTAAATAGGTGTGTGTACATGTTTGCATTGTTTATTGATAGAAAACCTGTTGTACAGCTAGGTCATTTTTGTTTATTCACTTATATCTTTAAGATACTCAACATCACTACTTAAATTCTTACACAGTGTACGCATTTAATCTTTTTTTAAATTTTGTTTTAAGAATCTAATAATTGTCCAGTTTTTCTTTGGGAACAAATTCTCTGCAATATCTCATATATATCGAGTTAATGTATGCCAACAACTTCACTAATGCTTCATTATTTGCCTAGTGACCATTAAGTATTCTTAATTTTTGATCTGTTTTTCTATCGAATACTGTAAATTTATGACATTCCATATTTTTAGGAGATATGTATGTTAAGTCAAATTTTTCTATTACCATTTTACATCACTTATTAAATAGCGACTTCACGATTCATGCATATAATAGGGAACTGTGGTATGTTGAATGAAATCCAAGTTTCTACCTCTGTCAAAAAGAAAACATGGATTTCTTTCATATTATTTATGTGTGTGTAAGTTGATTGTTGTTCTGTTTTTACGAAAGGAAATTTAATAATAACTATTCTTATGACACTTTGTAATTTCACACCATCTCCCATTTATTATTGTTTATTGGACAATCATTCTATTGCAGTCAACAAATCTTCTATAATTCATAATGCACTTAATTATTTTTTAGTTCATCGTAATGCTGGGTTTTTTATCTGACGACATCAGTAACTTACACTTTCTGTTTGTCCAGTCAGTAACTTGGACTTGCTATTTTTATTCTCCTTTTTTCACTAACATTACTATTACTACAAGATCAGTGTTCATTATCTGTATTACCTTTTTACACATGGATCGCCTCTATTTTTCAACTTGGTATGTTCCTTATTTGTTAGTTCTCTATATTCTATTGGAAAAGAACAAAACTTTGTGACGTATTTACGCTTATCAGGATAATTATTGTTACTACTATTATCTCTATTTCCTGTATCCTATTCATTGTGTAATTCATGTCAAAAGAAGACAATGTCCATACATATAAAGTTAGACTTTTTTGTTGTTGTTTCATTGACATATTTAAACGCCTAACTTATTCACAATGTAAGACTGTCTTCAAGCGATATGTGCAAATCTATTTCAACATCAATCAATAACAATCTAAATCATCTAGTTTATGTGAAAACTGGCTACAATGTTTTGAATCAGCAATACGTTTTTCTCGGTTGACGCGATGCCACACAACGGAATGCTAGAAAAGTGTTCAAGAATGAACGGAAGTGTAAATTAATGAGTATATGCAATCCACAGGGTGGAAGTATAATCATAAAAAGTAAAATCCAGATGATTTACTCGGCTTTAGATAGATTTTTAGCCATTTCAACTGATGTTTGTCGTCCTAAATTCTCGAATTGTTCAGCATGTCATAAGGTTCGATGTCCTATCTAGGAACACCACTATCAAGTACCTAGTCATGCAACAGTTTCTTTCATGGAGAGCTTATGTATGATAAGATATACGGTATGTTTCTTGTTCCTCAGGACAGATCTGTCATAGCCGTTTGATTTTAAAATCGACCTTGTATCCACAATAGTTTAAAGATTATCATATTTTCTTATGAGTTATTTGTATTGAATGACTTTCTGAAATCTGATTTTAAGCTGAATTATTTTGTTAGAAGCTTTATTATCACATGGGAATAGCGTAGACAGTTGAATATTAATTAATGATTCAGAGTAAACTTTATGATTAACCTGATGACTATCAGGTCCCTGTAGAGAAATCAATTTGTTTATTTTCATGATCAGGTAACTCAGCATGTAAAAGTAACATTCAGCTATGATTATTACAACCTATAGTTTTATAGATGTTGTTTGGCTGATGAATTGTATTCACATTAGTATGCACTGCCGTCGTGTATGCTAGTTTGGAATTTACTAAGGCGTTACGGATTACTTAAAATGAATCACGTTTCATAGACATTATGAATATGGGTAATCAAGCTCCACTGTTTTTAAACGATTCGACATTACACTCTAAATGTTATTCACAAGGATGATTATCAAAGTTCGTTTTTGCTATCTAACAAGTGTAAGTTTTTTGAATTGCTTATCTTTGCGGGAAATGAGTTACTTTGATGCCCATCGTCGGCTCAAAGTAGGTTATGAGGATTCTGCATGGAAGCTATTGGAAAACAGGTACACTGAATTTAGGAACTCAACATGGTTTCACTCAAGAATCAATGACATGATTCTATCCAATGCATTGATTTCGTCACCTTTAATCCTCCACTAACTGATGTTGAGTGTATCCCAATCAACAGTCAATGAAAACATAAACTATAACCAAATGATTAGATTTATAACACTTGAGTCTGGAATCGTTTGGCGCATCAATCGTAGGCTTTTAAAAATCACTGGTTTTATCTGTAGTTATTACATATATTACTCCTAAAACGGTTATATTGTACGGCCATAAAGTGATGAGGGTTTATTACAGTGCCTACTTTTTGCACGACTGGGATTTCCTTAAAGTTTTGTATGGTAGACTCCCTACATACTATGATGCCGAATAGTCATTAGCTATATTAGCATTTTGACACTTATCCATTATATGAGCGACGGAAGTCTGCTAACGGAAATGTGTCGTTTTCAAGAAGCAGTTCGAGTTAGGCGAAATAATCAAAGCTCCCAAGTATTAGTATTCATTTTTGAACAGTTTAACACAACTATGCATACAGAATTAATGCTGAAGCGAAGAATTTATGTATCTATATATGATTTGATATCACAATGCACCTATCCCATTTTGAGTAACCGTGAGCAATTTTTAAGAAGCCCTAGAATTAGGTTACATGCTAATTGTCATTTGTAAGCTGTATCAGTAATCTTATGGAGGACTGATGCCCGTAGTAGTAGTATTTGAACTGATGTCAGTATCACGTTCAGGGAGATCACAACTGAGTTATCAGGGTCTCGGTAGGACTGAGGTCAGTAATCAAGACTAGGCAGTAATAATTTAGCTTACTATTCACTGGTCAATCAGTGATAGAAGTCTCATACAGGAGTCAGTTATGATTTGAATACCTGTGTGATATCGCCTTTGGATGTGATATTAGATGACAGTATCTCGAATTCTAAATGAACCATCAATCCCCGAAAGGTAGATGCTCCTTGCTGATGAGCACCAATTTGCATAAAACTTAGGTCTAAGCCATCCTGCTGATTCCATCTTCCCATCTAACATTACAGAAGTGTGCTGGCTTGTTTAAGAAACAGCATGAATGTGGATTGATAAATCGAGGCCAATATATGTGAGAATAGTCCATTAAGTTTGATCATTTATAAGAACGGTATTTGAACATTATAGAAGGGAAAACTGAGAATTGCGTGAACTGACTGTCATGTTAAAATCAGTACAGATCATATCAAATGAATATATTTTTTCAAATTGATCTTAAAATGAGTACGTGAAAATCATGCAAGTGAAATGTTAATAGCAATATATCTTTAAATGTATAGATTAGATTTAAAACTTTTGACAGATGTAGCACAGAATAAAACTTAATTGTAGCTGAAGATGAACCGTATACCTGGGATATTGTTTACTGGTTATATGGAGTTAGTGTAGTTATGCTTACATTTCAAGGTATGTTTGATGAATTTGTAAATGAAATCGAATATATTAATAGATACATCATAGAAATCCTCAATAATTACTCTTCTCGAAGGAATCTGTTTTCAGAGAAACAATATATAGATAGCCGGGATATGAACATCCAACAATTAATGCTTACATACTTTCATCTTAACTATGATTTCTAGTCACCTTTATTATTCATATAGTGCATTATTTCTGCGATAGTATATTACTTTACTTACATATAAAGAAAAGCGAGTAATTAACTTAGAGAGTAACACATGACATACTTCTTTAAAAGAAAAAACCAATTGTTAAAAATCTATGGATAAAATAGGGTAATCCGAAAACGATAACTAATGGCCAAGAAAATGTGAAAGAGAAATCCATAGTTTTTTTATTTTTCTAATCCTGTTTTAGCACAAATTCCGATGAATTGTTTCTACTGTAAATAATAATAATTTTGACTTATGGAATGGCATTGTGATTTCGATTGAGTTGTATACTTTATTCAAAAATCCTGTGAGCGGGATCGTGGACGCGCACTGCTGAGGAATCCCATGATAGGATGAAACAGCCGTCTAATGATTCCAGGTTTTCAATGGTGGTCTGATATCAGTCTGTTCATGATATCAATCAGAAACCTAAAAATCTCCACAACCCCATACTGATAATTACCAAGTCCTCACTGGTGACTAGCTTTGTGAGGGAATTCTCGGAGTTCTAGTGAGAAGCCGTGACTAGTGAAGTTAATCCGTGTCAGGTAGAGACAGGTATCTACCTCACTATAATGAAAGATAGTCGCGCAATTTCGTGTATTGGTTGAGGTTAGACACTAACACCGTTGGCCGTCCAATCCTCTCAGGTTTTCTTTGGTGGTCTAACATCAATCTTTTCATGATCTCAATCAAATATATTTTTTACTGATTAATCACAATCACCTATTTGAATCTCAAAGATTTTTGTGAAAAGTAAAAAAGTGAGGTTGAGATCATTCTGTTTGAACAAATTACTTATACGTTTTTTGTTTCCAGAGCTTTGTTTAGCCAGTTATTTTTACTGTAATGCTATGCGATCTAATTTGATTCATTA